CTCACTGCACTAAAAGATATCCACTGTTATTATTGCTGTTAAGTACCAAGGCAGAATCTGAAAACTTGGAGACATAAAAGACTGCAGATGCTGGAAGCTAAGTCAAAAAATGTGGAGCCGTAAGAACACAGCAGGTCAGACAGCATCTGAAGAAGGGTTCTGACCCAAAACATTGACTTCCCTGCTCCCCGGAAGCTGTCTGACCTGCTGTGTTTTTACGGCTCCACATTTTTTGACAAATTCTGAAAACGCCCCAGTACACTCACACATGTATGCAATTAATATCAATTCACATGTCCTATTGCTGCCAATGTTTACTTTCTTCTAAGGAAAAAGCTAACGAGTGCTAATTTCCTCAGAGCTATTCAGAATCTGCAGCTGTAATCTCCCCAAAAATGCAGTGAAAACTCTGCTAACATAGTAATCCAAAGTGTTTTTTTATTTAGTTGTTCACAGGATGTGGGTGTATCTGATTTTGCCAGCATTTGTTGTCCATTTCTAATTGCCCTTGAGTGAGTGGTGGTGAGCAGCCATCTTGAACCACTGCAGTCCATGTCATGTAGAGACACCCACAGCACCATTAGGAAGGGAGTCCCTGGGTATTCATCAGTGAAAGTGAAGAAACACTGATATGGTTCCAAGTTAAGATGATTTATGATTTGGAGGCAAAGTTATGGCAAATCCAAGGATATTTATCACATGTTTACAATAGGAAATTCACCATTTATGCATTAAATATAGAGAGATGCTCAGAGTGTGTCATTAATCATGGGTTGACAATTAACAGGAGGGAAAAAGACAATGGGGGCAAAAGGCCAGGGATCTTCAAAAAGAAAAGCATGTATTTATATAACACTTTACACAACCTCAATACTTCGCAAAGTCCTTTTCTAGCTAATTTAATAATTAGTGAAGTTCCTGCTCCTCTGATGCTGCTTGGCCTGCTGTGTTCATCCAGCTCTACACCTTGTTATCTCAGATTCTCCAGCATCGGCAGTTCCTACTATCTCTGTAAGAAGTTTAGCTACAGTTGTGCAGCAATTTGCACAGAGCAAGCTTTCATAAACAGGAGCATAGAAATGAGAATACTTTATTCATGTTGATCGGGAGAGAAATATTGGCCGACAGATTGAGGTAACTTGCCTGATCACCCTGGGATCTTTTAGATCCACATCAAAAGGCAGGAGAGATCTCAACTTGTTACAACATCCAGAAGACTGAACTCCCAAAATTTGCAGCACGCTTTTATCGAGGCAGTCCCCAATTTATGAATGACGGAATTACAAATGCTTGTACTTACAAACGAGATCCCATACAGGAGTGTATTCATATTAATTTTAAAGATCCAACTTGAAAATATTTTCTTGAACCTATTTTAGTTCTGAGTTCTGAAGAAGGATCGCTGGACCTGAAACGTTAACTCTGCTTTCTCTCCACAGATGCTGCCAGACCTGCTTAGTTTTTCCAGCAATATCTGTTTTCGTAACAGCTATTTCACATTATGTTCCAACTTGCATATGAATTGACTTATGAACATAATCAAGAAGTTCGGGACAGCACCAGTGTAAGACAGAAGGAGCAGTTTCAATGTAGAGACATGAAATGACACATAGGTGCTGTGTGCAGGGTCATAGGATCTGGGGCATGATGTGAGAGGGAAAGATTATGAGAGAATTTAGCCAGGACAGAAATAGATTCTCAACTGCATGGGAAATCACAGAACTTGAAATAATACATCTAAACTAATAATCAAAAGTAGGATTAATTATCAAGTTTCTGTTCATAAGCAAATTCTCTTTTTAATTTACATAAAGAGACAAAAGTGATCCTGTACAAAAATAAAGTGTGTCAGAATGAGTCATTGCTACCACAGTCAATTTTTTTAAAGACTGGAAAATGAAGCTTTGTTGTATAAAAACAGGCCATTACCAAAGAGATTAAACAAAAGTAGACAACAACACAGAGTTCACTTTAAATGACAAATGAAGATAAATATTGATTTGATGTGATGACTGTGATTAGGTTAGCATAATGTGGTTGCTATGAAGCATTGTTTACTTCTGTAATTGTTGCCAAATATGACTTGGAAAAACCATGCAATGGTTTTCTGATGAAGGGTCTAGGCCCGAAACGTCAGCCTCTCTGCTCCTATGATGCTGCTTGGCCTGCTGTGTTCATCCAGCCCTGCACCTTGTTGTCTCGGATTCTCCAGCATCTGCAGTTCCTACTATCTCTGATCCAATGGAATTTTTGCCTTATTCCTTGTGGATGCGGGTGCCACTGGCTTTCCAGCATTTATTGCCCCATCCCTCATTACCATTGAATGGGTGGGGATGAGCTGCCTTCTTGAACTACTGCAGTCTATCTGCTGTATAAACCCACAATGCCCTTGGGGAGGGAATTCCTGAAGTAATAGCGACACATTTGCAAGATTTCTTCTGTAAAATTTTAAACATATTTCTGCTTAACTATAGTCTTATGACCACCTGTCTTTTCTCCCATTCGCTTTTCCAAGATTTGGGCATGTTATTCCACTGGGATGATCCACCCTAATGGCCAAAACTCCCCAGTGGTTTGCCATTGCCTTCAGTAGGATGGCTGACCAGGAAACTCACCCATTCTTATCGCCTGGCATCAGGCAAATTGGAATGATTTTCAGGCTGGCAATCGACTGGATTGGTCAGGCTACAAATGCACCTCCCACCGCCAAGGAAGACGTGTCATGTGATTCAAATCCCAGAGCTTTTGGCCCAGAGAAAGGGACATAGCCACTGCACCACGAGACCCCCGCTATGGCATTATCTAGAAATTTAAACATGTTTGGACCCCAAACAATCTGGCTGTTCTTTTAGTGTGACATTGAATAATGTCTCCTAAGTATCTGCGTTTCATGAAGTCGTTGGCATGTCTCCTGAGAGTTTAGGGAGGCAACGGTGACAATCAAAGAAAATAGCGATGAATGCCATTCATAGAACATGTCCAGCAAGCATGAGGGAATAGGTGGAGCCAGCATGCCAACCTGCATTTATATAGTTCCTCTAACTTAGTACAGTGTCCAGAGGCATGCTCGCTCATTAGAGAGAGAGAGAGAGATATGGTTGGTGGTGAGGGCCACCATGCCTCAGGTCAGGGGCAAGTTTGAGAAAGCAGGACCTCAATGGTAACCTAGGCACTACAGGAATTGAACCCAGGCTGTTGGTCGATTGCCAACCTGCTGTCCAGCCAACTGAGCTCACCAACCCCATGTCAAGCTGCATATCAATCACAATTTCACTGCAGCCAAAGGAAGGGATATCAAGGCATCTTAAAAGGAGCAGAGGGAGGTGGAGAAGATTAGGAAAGCAATTTCATAGCTTAGCATCTGTACAGTTGAAGGAACAGGTACCAATGGCAGGAAGAAGAAAGTGACGGAAGCAGAAGAGATGATTTTGAACAGTACAGATTCCTTGGGTATTTGTAAAGATGGAGGAGACTGTAGAGTCGAGGTGGTCAAAAGTGGTGGGAATCTCATTCTATCTGATTTCAGGAAGAAAATCTGCCAATTGTTACATTGAGCTCTGGGTGGTTAAGATAGAAGGTTGCCACCCATTTTCCTCTCGACTTTTTGAACAACTTAAACCACATTGAACCCAATCTGAAAGCAGCCCCTAGGAGGCACTGTAACAAAAGTCAGATCACAAAGGAAACTTACAGATTTTAAATTAAAATATCAATTTGGGAATCTTACTTTCTATGCTGAGCCTACGGGTTTCTCTCATTATTAGTGGAAGAGAATTGATGGGTCTTAACAAGAAGAGGCATTTGTCTTACAAACCAAGAAGCAGCTTATTGCATGATTGCAATGGGTGCAGATTAGCTGGTTATAATTAATTAATAAGTAGCCGGATATGTCACTTCTGAGCCCATCTGGACCTTGTGTCAGACCACCTGGTTCTCCAACCAAAGTTTGTCTGACATCAGAGTGGGTGGAACTTAATGTAATTTCAACATTAACTCTTTTATAACCATCACATTATACAATACCTATCTTCCTCAATCAGACCTACACGTGACTGCATACCCACAGCAAAATGGTTAACTCTGATCTATCCTCTGGAATGGACTGATTCAAGGTCAGTGGGGACAAGCAATAAATGCTGGCATTGCCAACTACAGTCCTTTGTGTTCTCTTTTACACAGACCTCCGAGGTCTGTGCAGGCAGTAACTTATGAAACTAGAAATCAATTTTGGCAACAGTTTTGACACACCGACACAGCGTACACGGACCGGGAATACGTATTACTTGTTCCAGGAATGAGAAGCATTAGTTTTGAGGACAGATTGGAGAGGTTGAGACTGTTTTATGTCAGAGAGAAGACTGAAAGGATATTTGGTAGAAGTTTTCAAGATCATGAGGGGACTGGACAGAAAATATTCCTTCCCATAAAACAATCGAGAATGAAGCAAGGTCATTCGCAAAAAAAGCAAATGAGATTTGATAATCACCCATGTTGTTTGCGTCTGGAATGCATTGCCTGGGAATGAGATGGATGTAGGTTCCATTGAAACATTCAACAATGCATTGGGTGATTATCTAAATAGAAATCACGGGCGGGGTTATGGGGAAAGGTTTAGGGAATGGCACCAAATCCCAATGCTCATTCAGAGAGCCAGCACAGACATGACGGGCTGAATGGCCACCTTCAGTGTTGTAACAATTTTGCGATGTCGAGAAAGGCACCTCTGACAGTGCGGCAGTCCACTGGCAGGGTCCACCTTGAATTTTCTAATGAAGAGTCACCGGGCTCCAAACATTAACTCTGCTCTCTGCCCACAGATGCTGCCTGAGTTTCTCCAGCAATTTGTTGAATTGTGTTTATGTCTGTGTGTGTGAGAGAGATGGTGGTAGTGAGGGGTAGGCAGTGCTTTGGAGTGGGAGGGAGAGAGGGAGGGGGTGAGATAGCCACATGTGATTGTGCTCAACACAAGTTTTTTTTTGAGATTGAGATTGAGAACGGGAACTACAGCTCCCCCTGAGTATTGCAATTGACAGAGAGAGACAGAGCTGTGTTAGCACAGAACTGCGGGAGTCTGTGCTACTGCTGGTAATACTGGGGAGGAGAAAGTGGGGTGTGTTTTATTTTATGTTGGAAAGGAGAGATGAAAAATACAAGAGGCAGGGTTAAAGTCGCCCTGATCATCCTGCTGGTTCTGCTGTCTGTGTTTCTAATATTTCTGAGCGCTTTGTTAATCAGGACCTACACATTCAGCGCTGCTGGGAACCAGGACTCCAGCTACTTTGACAGGAGTCATGCAGCTTTTGCAGCAAACTTCAGCGAGTCTGAAGGAAAACTACTTCTGGACAATTTGAAAGGGGCACTTCGTATCCGCACTGTCAGCCGCAACGCCACTGACTTTGACATCTCCGCCCTGGAAGAGTTTGGAGACTTTTTGCCTAAAGGTACTGTTCTTAGTTCTTTATGAAGTTGACTTAGCAGTAAAATGAGTCCATTGTCAGGATCCAGTGGATTCCTGGTAACAAAAGGTTTTCTCTTGTCGGTTTCCTTTTTGTTTTGGGAATTGGTGGCTGAGGAATTTTAGAGATCTCCTCGTTATTTTGTAAGGATTGGGTTTGCAAGTGACAATAGTCCCCTAAATTACTGCACCTCATGGGCAAAAGATTATAATGGGGGTTATAACCCCGCAATAAATTGACCGTACATTGTCTGTTGGTGCCTTCTGGCCATTATCTAGTCACTATTAATCAGATGAGCTTTAAATTCCAAATTTTTGTTAATTAAATTAAAGTTCCAGTTGTTGGCACAGTGGGATTTGAATCTGTATTCCCAAGAGTGTTAGCCCCTGGATTGCTAATCCAGTCAAACAGCCATCTCTTCCCCCTTGCCTCAGTCTATACTGTCTTTTTTTTTGCTGAAATTGGGGACCTGCTGAATCATTGAGTGTAAGACCACATGAATAAATTAACATCAGCATTTAAAGTTAGAGAGAAATTCAACTGCATACATCTTTGTGTAAGGCATTATGTCAGTAACAAGTGTTCTAAATATTTGATTATGTTGGGAAAATGTAATTGAATGCACAACAGGGAGGATGCCTGACTGAGTGCCAGCTGCAAACATGAATATGCACAACTGCAAGTATAATTGCAGATTATGGGCAGAGCCCAGTCTAATTATATTTTGCAAAGACAATGTTTAACATAATGTTGGTGCTTGATGTTGTTTTTCTACGTACTTGGGCCGATTCATGCGAGGTTTGGTTCTACTGACACCCACCAGTCCTCATATGACAGGCATCACAGTGAGTCCATGTTAAAACAACTGATCCAGTCCCTTGACAACAAGGTGCAGGGCTGGATGAACACAGCAGGCCAAGCAGCATCATAGGAGCAGAAAGGCTGACATTTCGGGCCGAGACCCTTCATCAGAAAAGGGGGAGGGGAAGGGGGTTCTGAAATAAATAGGGAGAGAGTGGGAGGCGGATAGAAGATGGATAGAGGAGAGGAAACAAACAGGTCGAAGAGGCGGGGATGGAGCCAGTAAAGGTGAGTGTAGGTGGGGAGTTGGGGAGAGGATAGGTCAGTCCAGGGAGGACGGACAGGTCAAGGGGGCGGGATGAGGTTAGTCGGGAGGAGATGGGGGTGCGGCTTGAGGTGGGAGGAGGGGATAGGTGGGAGGAAGAACAGGTTAGGGAGACGGGGACGAGCTGGAATGGTTTTGGGATGCAGTAGGGGGAGGGGAGATTTTGAAGCTTGTGAAATCCACATTGATACCATTGGGCTGCAGGGATCCCAAGCGGAATATGAGTTGCTGTTCCTGCAACCTTCGGGTGGCATCGTTGTGGCACTGCAGGAGGCCCAGGATGGACATGTCGTCTGAGGAATGGGAGGGGGAGTTGAAATGGTTCGCGACTGGGAGGTGCAGTTGTTTATTGCGAACCGAGCGTAGGTATTCTGCAAAGCGGACCCCGAGCCTCCGCTTGGTTTCCCCGATGTAGAGGAAGCCACACCGGGTACAGCGGATGCTGTATACCACATTGGCAGATGTGCAGGTGAACATCTGCTTGATGTGGAAAGTCTTCTTGGGGCCTGGGATGGGGGTGAGGGAGGAGGTATGGGGGCAGGTGTAGCACTTCCTGCGGTTGCAAGGAAAAGTGCCGGGTGTGCTGGGGCTGGAGGGGAGTGTGGAGCGGACAAGGGAGTCATGGAGAGAGTGGTCCCTCCACAAAGCAGATAAGGGTGGGGAGGGAAAGTTGTCTTTGGTGGTGGGGTCGAATTGCAGATGGCGGAAGTGTCAGAGGATGAGGCGTTGGATCCGGAGGTTGGTGGGGTGGTACGTGAGGACGAGGGGGATTCTTTTTTGGTTCTTATTGCGTGGACGGGGTGTGAGGGATAAGTTGCGGGAGATGTGGGAGACACGGTTGAGGGTGTTCTCGACCACTGAGAGGGGGAAGTTACGGTCCTTGAAAAACAAGGACAACTGAGATGTACGGGAGTGGAATGCCTCATCCTGGGAGCAGATGCGGCGGAGGCGAAGGAATTGGGAATAGGGGATAGCATTTTTGCAGGAAGGTGGGTGGGAGGAGGGGTATTCTAGGTAGCTGTGGGAGTCGGTGGGCTTGAAATGAATATCGGTTTCTAGGTGGTTGCCCGATATGGAGACCGAGAGGTCCAGGAAGGGGAGGGGGGTATTAGAGATGGTCCAGGTAAACTTAAGGTTGGGGTGGAAGGTGTTGGTGAAGTGGATGAACTGTTCGAGCTCCTCGTGGGAGCACGAGGCGGCGCCGATACAGTCATCAATGTAACAGAGAAAGAGGTGGGGTTTAGGGCCGGTGGAGGTACGGAAGAGGGTCTACATCGGGGAAACCAAGTGGAGGCTCGGGGACTGCTTTGCAGAACACCTACGCTCGGTTCGCAATAAACAACTACACCTCCCAGTTGCAAACCATTTCAACTCCCCCTCCCATTCCTTAGACGACATGTCCATCCTGGGCCTCCTGCAGTGCCACAACGATGCCACCCGAAGGTTGCAGGAACAGCAACTCATATTCCGCTTGGGAACCCTGCAGCCCAATGGTATCAATGTGGATTTCACAAGCTTCAAAATCTCCCCTCCCCCTAGTGCATCCCAAAACCAGTCCAGCTCGTCCCCGCCTCCCTAACCTGTTCTTCCTCCCACCTATCCCATCCTCCCACCTCAAGCCACACCCCCATCTCCTCCCGACTAACCTCATCCCGCCCCCTTGACCTGTCCGTCCTCCCTGGACTGACCTATCCCCTCCCCAACTCCCCACCTACACTCACCTTTACTGGCTCCATCCCCGCCTCTTCGACCTGTTTGTTTCCTCTCCACCTATCTTCTCCTCTATCCATCTTCTATCCACCTCCCACTCTCTCCCTATTTATTTCAGAACCCCCTTCCCTTTCCCCCTTTTCTGATGAAGGGTCTAGGCCCGAAACATCAGCCTTTCTGCTCCTATGATGCTGCTTGGCCTGCTGTGTTCATCCAGCCCTGCACCTTGTTGTCTCGGATTCTCCAGCATCTGCAGTTCCCTACTATTTCTGATCCAGTCCCTTAATTTCCATGGATTTCCTAAAACAGTGGCCGGGTCCCTAACTGGGATTAAGCTCTAAGGCAGAAATGGCCAAGCCCTGATTTTCCCATCCTCTAATGGCGTCTTCTCCTCTCCGAACCCGACCACTCACCGAGGGGTTGCAACTCTTTTCAAGCCTCCAGATGGGGCCACAATGGGAAAATGTTTGGGAAACACTGTCGTAACTGGAAATCACTAGAGTTTCCCAATCATCCTGTATTGCTCCATTTAATGCTGGAAAGCTTGTGTTTTCAAATAAACCTGTTGGACAATAACCTGACGCCATTGGATTTGGTGCCTTGTCCACCCCAATCCAACACTGGTACCTCCACATCTTCAAAATCTTAGGTAACTGCTGTCAGAGAACGGTTCTTCTGTATGCAGGTTCAACTCCTGTAGCAGGTTCTCTTTTTATCTGCTGTTCCTACTGATGGCATTATTCAACTTTATTGCAACACATTGTTCCAAAATGGGGTGCACACGAGGCTCTTAGCTTGGGCCCTAACACTAAAAGAAATCAGTAACTGGACTGAGAGCACAGCTACTACTATGGGGCAAATTAGAAAGCAGAAAATCAAAGGAAATGTGCAATAACACCATGGGTTGCTAAGCAATAGGAAAGAGGAAAATTACAAAAAAAAGTGTCAAAATATTAATTTGGGAGAGATTCTGACAAAATAGTTTGTAAGGACATTTCTAAGCAACTATTCAATGGAGTACCTAGTAATAAATAAATACCAATAAGAATAGGGACCATAATATCATTTTGGTACTATTGAGCAGCATACAAACCAATTCCCCTGCTTTACAACAGTCATATTTGCAGATCCAGTGCCTGTGTACTTCTGACAGCATCAGTGGAGAGAAAACCGTTAACGTTTCAGAACTTCAGAACTCAAAAAAGAGTCACTGGACTCGAAACGTTGGCTGTTTTCTGTCTACAGATGCTACCAGACTTGTTGAGTTTCTCCAGCAACTCCTGTTTTTGTTTCAGATTTCCAACATCCACAGTTCTTTGTTTTATTTTAGTCAATTTATTTCTGTTTGCTAAAATCCACCAGGAATTTAAGCACATCTGTGCTACCCTGATGTATCGCAATGAGCCATTCAGCTCAATTATTGTAGAGTGAAATCCTTGTCACCTCCTTCCTTCAATGCAAATAGTTGTGATTCAATTTCCAACAAACCCCTGCAATGCTACGGTCCTTTTCCCTGCCACAATGGCCCTGATCCATTGTCTGATTGATTTTCACTGCGATTTCCAACCCCCTTCAGATGCTGCTGCTGCCTTAGTATCTAGTAGACTCTGATCCATCCAGGTAGAAGCCAGGCATAACCAATCAAACAAGAATTCCTTACAGAAATTTAGGTGTGAAGTGGTAGAGCCCCTGTGTTGACGAGAAGATGATGGAGGAGATATTTCTATCTGTGAAAGGCAGTGGTGTACCTTATGAACAATCTTAAAGGAGGGAGAGATTAGATCCATATGGTAGATTTGAGAAAACCTTAAGGATTATGGCCATGCACAAGTACCATGCTATATTTGGAATAGAAATTCAAAGCTAATTTAACCAACACAATCATTAAAATTGTTCTTATTTTACATTGACAGCATTTTTAATTCAGTTCATGGCCATTTGCATTCATTTGGAAAGCACATGCTGATTCGGTATGCCTGTGATTACCCAATGAGGCAATGGGGTTTTATTTTCTGCAAACGTATTACAGATTACACAAAACATCCCCAATCATCAGGTGTTCCCTCTCACTCAGCTGAAACTTAAAGGGCCTATTTAATACTGATTAGTTCTTTCTTAAAAACTTAAAAGGTATCTGTACTTTGATAAC